CCTGAGTGTGAAAAACTCAATGAACACAGAAACTACTTTGATTGTTTTGAATGTATAAGTATTGGAATGTTTTCAACATCACGATGGGTAATTATGATAGACGATGTAAGAGGGGGCGAAGTCATTCAGCTTCGGGGCGACATGGCAAGAGGGCGAAGTGATCTGCATTCTTCGCAACAGTTCACGAATGAGTCTTTCGTGAGAGTACCCACTTTTGCTTAATTATATCAACGGCTTACTGATTTATTGAGCTTTCTATTGAAAATAATAACAAAGCCTCTTTATGGTAGAGGGAAAGATTTCGACCTTAACGCCGACTCACTGCTCGAATTTTCACTCTTGTTTAACTTTTTTAACAGTTGTTAGTAAGCAGAAGATTAACTGAAAAAATTTTGTCGCCAGTTTTCTCCCGCTGTGTGAAGTTGTAATCATTCAACTTATTTTGAAATAATTCCTTGGCTTTCATGACTGATTTTTCAGGTATAACTCCTATAAACAGGTTATTTCGCTTTTCTCGGATCAAATTCAATAAAAACTCATGTGGATCTGGTTTATTGGCTTCGGAATTTTTTTTTCTTGACCCTTTTAAGGTGCACTTACCGCAAAAAGACTGAATTGTTCAATGGCATCTCAAAGCAACCTATTCTCTCGCTTTATTCACACAGATCTCATCCATGTACGACTTCCAGCTCTCAAGTATCTTTCTTTCTTTATAATCATTTACTGAATACTGTAATTACCTTTAACTAAGAAACAGTAACATGTAGGTATCCAACCTAAAATATTCAAAGCTCAGGATGATACGAGCTTTATTTATAAAATGAATTAAATATAAAAACCACCTGCAAGGGGAACTGGTACAAAGCCGACGTAGACTTTATTAACGCGGCTTTACATACAAAAACACTACAAAAATGGATACCTCTGGAGCAGGCTTTATCAACGATCATGGGTATTTGATCAATTTTATCGCCAAAATGAACCAGATGCGAAAAACTGAGGTGTTATGTGATGTCGTGCTAATGACAGAGAATGGAAACACAAAGTTCTATGCGCACAGAGCTGTTCTTGCCGCAAGCAGTGAATATTTTTACAAGCTCTACACGGGTACTTCGCTATCAAGGTACCACAGAGAAACAATTCTACAAGGCATAACAGACTCAGTTCTTCAGGTTGTTGTAGATTACATCTACTCTGCTCATGTTGTTCTTACTGAAGTAAACATTGAAGAGATACTTTGCGCTTCTTTTCAGCTCGGATTAGAATCACTAAAACTTGAATGTGAGCAGTTTCTCATTCGTCATATTTCCGTCGAGAACTGCATCAAAATGACGGCTATGGCTCGCGTCTACTCATGCGAGAAACTTCTGCGGGAAGGAAAGCGATTTATGCCAGAAAATTTCTTGGAGATTCAAAACTCAGAGGAATTCTTCAAAATGCCAAAAGAGCAACTGGAAGAAATTATCGCAGACGATGACCTAAACGTGAAAAATGAGGAACAAATTTTCAATTCAATTCGTGCGTGGACAAACTTTGATGTTATTTCAAGGCGTGACTCATTTTCCGACTTATTGAGTCACGTGCGACTGCCTTTCATTGCGCGAACCTTTCTGCTCGGCACGATCGATAAGGATCCGTTGGTCACATCATCTTCGGTTTGTAAAGAAATAGTAGCCGAGGCCTTGTCTTACAAAATGGCTGGCCACAAGGAGAAGAAATTGCTTCAGAATGAGAGAACTAAACGGAGGTAAAATGTGCAGTTAGAGCAATTTTCGAATGATTGTCGAAATTTATCTAGAATTGCATTGGTTTTGCCTAGCTTCTTTCTGTGATTGGTCCAGAAAACTCGTGCCACCCTCTTGATAAATCAGAAGCGAAAGTGAAACCGATCACGACTCTGTCACCCTCGTTTTCCCGCACTTTAAATAGTTTGGTTGGTTTTACAGTAAATTCTCGTTGGCTCTCAAAGATATCTTTCCCTCCTCTGATTGGTTGTTGTTAAGACGCTTAACTGAAAAGTGCTCTAGTCAGAGCTAACTCATGTTGGTCATAAAAATTCACATTCGCCGTAAATTAAGTTTGCGTAGGGGTGGTGACCTACTGGTTAGCGCGCCAGAAATCAGACCGAGAGGTCCTCGAGCGAACCTGGCTGTTGTGTTCTGATCTTAGGCAAGCAACCGCGATGAGATCCGTTAAGAATGGGTCCTAGGTTCGAAAGACTTAGCTTACGTCTAAAAGTTCCCTAATAAACATTTCTTTATGTATTTCATGATGGTCAGTTCAAAATGTCCTTGAAATCCTTTGTCTTTTTGAGAATACCAGGTGGAGGTCTCAGTTGACAGATGTTATCATTCTAGTGGGTGGAGTCATCGAAAATGGCGTCCAAGCTTGCTGTCATTGTTTCAATCCGCTGACCAATAAATGGCACTGCCTGTCTCCAGTGATTGACAGTCGGTTGAACTTTGGCATGGCCAGGTTACATCGCTGGTTGTTTGTTGTGGGTGGTTCCACTTCTGGAGAGAATATGAATGTTCTTTCGACTGTAGAAAGGCTGGACCCAAAGTTCAACACTTGGGAGAAAGTCGCCACACTTACGTCAGGTAAAAGTGGTAAACCGATTTATAGGAAAGGTCTGAGAAGAAAAGTGCTGGCTTTCTTGAGATACTAGATGCTCTATGAAATTGAATTGGGTTCTGTAGTTAGTCCTATGCTAACTTAAGAGCTGTTATACCCAGGTGAGGAAGAAGAACGTACAGAGAGAAGAAGGATCAAGGGCAGGAAAACTTACACACAAGGATGAAAGCAACAAAGTGTGAAAGCAGACAGCATAACCCTAACACACCAATCTAGCCAAAAGATCGATTCAGAATAGGGATATTTTTCACCGCTGATGACCTCTAAGTTAATTGTCATAACAACGAATTAGAAATATCCGTTTTTGTTTTGTTTGTTTTCCAGGTCGCTTTAACCACGAGGCCGTCGAGCTCGATGGGAAAATCTACGTCGTAGGAGGGGTCCTGGGAAACAGTAATCAGGAGCAAACAATGGAGTGCTATGATCACGTGACTGATTCTTGGTCCTCACTGTCCTCACCCCGTCAGACCCGTTATACACACTGCGCTGTTTCATTGGATGGATATATCTATGTTATTGGAGGTAAAGTTCGGCTCTAAATGATCGATAAAATACTTCTCCCCAAACTGACTAATTCGAGTTTCCTTTCTTGTCGATTGTATACCTCTTAATTCTTTGATAGCTTCAGAATAATTTTTGACTTCCCAACATTTTGTTTTAGCATTAAATGTTAAGATTTAGGCAAATTGAGGTGACAATAAACCCTTGAATCATATTAAAAAAAGGTTGCAAAGGGATTATCTTTAACATGCCGACTGCAATTCGATCAGTAAAGGTCCAAAGGTCTAGATTCCATTTTAATAAGGCGCATAACGCTAAAACCATATGGTAGACTTTTACCCCACGAAAAAATTTATTGGAGATTTTTGAGCAAAAATAAGCATGTTTAAAAGGTTAAAAAAAGAAAATTTTTTGCTATGTTGATTGATAACGAACAAAGAAATCGACGAGAGCCTTAGTAGTTAGTAGAACACTCTCTTCATTTGATTCCACAACGAACATTCAGCTGTGAAGCTTTTATTATAACATTCTCCTAAAGGAATATCCAAAAATAACACAGTCCTGAGAACAGTAGAGAGATATGACCCGCATCAAGCTAAATGGACCCATATGGCTAATCTAAACACGCCGCGAAGCGGAGCATGCACAGTGGTACTCTCAGGTCGGATCTACGTCATGGGAGGCGGGTCAGATTTTCGCAACATTTTGTGTTCCTGTGAGATTTACGAGCCAAGCAGAAATAAATGGACCTACGGGAAAGGTAAGTGGAATTTCGTTTCAAATATTTCAGTACTAGAAGTTACCAACTTTCCGTAGGTTAAAACATAAATTCAGCTTATTTGTAACATATCGACGTTCTCGTCACTCGCACGCGTGAGCTCTGGGAACTAGATTGATATCATTGTTGACTCGTTTGATAAGTATTAAGAGAAACCTAACCATTGTGTTTGCTAATTTAATTTTAGCAATCTGACCAATCTGGATGCTAAATCAGACTTGGCAGACAAACTTTTCAAACATAGAAGAGATTGGAATTTAAAAAGGCGGACATTGCCAGGAAATAAACCGGGAGAAAGCTTTTCAAGTTTGCACCATTTTACGTCATTGAAAAATTAAGGATATTTTAAATAAGACTCTCCATTTCTTAAATTAGACATGAACACCAAGCGTGACCGCGCAGGCGCAGCAGAATTTGGCGGGAAGATCTACGTGTTCGGTGGTTCTTATGGTCACGTGGCAGTGACGTCAGTGGAGTGTTATGATTGGCGGGTAGACCAGTGGAACATCATAACAGAGTTACCTTACCCACGGTACGGGTTTCGCTGCACAAAGACTGTCGTCAGTAGGGACATGATGGCAGAGGTTCCTCCTCTAAAGCCGAAAGAACCTGCCCAGGAAAAGTTGATCTAGAACAGGCGTAGAGCTACGTAAAGATTTTTTTCACCATGCAGCATGGGCATTTCTTGAAATGTTAATTCCTAGGATTTTAAGGTTTTTCCTCCATCCGCAAATATAAGCTTCATTAATCTACGCGGTTTTGTGCGCGCTCAAAAGTAATGAGCGGCAAAGTCGCATGTGGGTCAGTATCCACACTCCTGGTGTATCTTTACTTGATATTTTGCATCCCAAACTTCACGCAACTTTGCCGCTAAGATTCATGGCTCGGCCGCTACACACTAAAATCCCACACAAAACCACTAGATAGACAGTCTAAACCTTCCGCAAGAAAAATGAAACTTTTCAAATGCAACACCACCAAAATTTACGGCACGTCCATATATTGGTTCCAATAAAACCCTCCTGGAGGTGGGTTTCTTCCCTGATTAATCATTTAGGATATTCGCATTCTTAACTGAACTTTCGGCGATAAATTTGAGACAAAACTTAAAATTCTCAATATTCAAATGAGACACTGATGCTCACCGGAAGTATAGTATTCATTGAAAACTGCTTTTCCGGTACGGGGTAACGCCCACTTTTAAATTACTATCTATGCAATATAAGTGACGCCTGTGGTTCTGATATCCGTCTATTTGTGAGATGAGTTCAACATTGCTATATTGCAGTTTTCATCAGCTCTAAGACTTTGAAATGCAAATCATATATTGAACATTGGACGTTTCAAACAACACATAATCACTGAGGATTATTATCCGAGAAATCTAAAACTAGGAATATTCGGACAAAACTTCATCACAAAACAGAAATAGTTAGACGTATTAGCTCTATATTGAACAGGAAATGATCCAAAAAAATTTTGCAACTGAGGAGATTTGAAATGTGATAAAGTTAGATTTCATTTAAAGATAAATAGTAAGCTGTAAAAAGTGATTTTAAAAAAAATATGTATGACAATAAACGGCCAACTGCAAGGGATGCCATACATGATGGCCTGTGTTTGTTTTATCGATAGAAGCAGCTCACTTACCCTGGTTTGTTGACGCTACTTCACTCAAATTGAATCAATTAAATGAATATTATACAATATAGTAAAGTTCTTTGGTACCTAAAGGGACTGCTCTGTTACCCCTTACCAAGCTTAGTTTCCGGTTCACCATATGATTCACGCCCGGTGATCTGATGGGGTTTCTGGTTCCACTTTTTTACTTGACTGAAAAAGAAAATTTGTTAACCAGCCGGACGCATTGAATAAATTTCATTTCTAGAGAATATCATATATACATACCTAACTATGAGGTTTTACAGTAGTATAGAACCATGGAACAGTAACAAATCGCTGGATACTTTGAGAACGGAGGTCGTGGTGCTGGTCATTCCTTCCATGCTCGTTTTACGTGGTCGACTGAAACGACTTCTTATAGATTGATTGAAGTCTTGGAATATTGACGTGATTTGAAATCAAGTTTAATGAGTTATTAATGTTGAAGCAGTTACTCCGTATAATTATTTTATCTAGATTAGTAGTTTTATTGATCTTCAAGTGAAGAGATTTGACGAATGAGTCTAAACTGGAACTCGAGGGGTAAGATTCTAAAGAAACTGTGGAGCTGCGTCGGTGAGAGAGTATAACAAGGTAAACTGGTATTACCAACCGAGTTGATAACGTAAATTGACCACCGTAAAGAGCTTCAAAGCTGACGGTTCGAGCGTTAGCCCTTCGTCAGAGCGAAACTGGAACTATTTTTGTTCCCTTGTTATACTAATATATTGTTTTCTCAATCAAAATATGTTTCTGCTGAATCTTAAACTATACCTGAGAGTGAACCTGTGTTTCCTAACACTGAGTAATTTTCCAATCAGTGACCTCTCTCTCTTTCTTTAGGCTTAAGTGGTTCTTGTACATGCATCTGCTCAAATCTCAGACCGAAGGTGGAGTGGTCATGATTCAAACAGGAGTTTAATGAACAGAAGAAACATCAGTTTTACCCTGTAATCTGAACCCTGTTTTTAAAAGAACCTGTTCTCAGCCTTATCCCTTGGTAGACATTCATAAGATAAAAGACTTATCGTCCTGTTTCGTTAAACAAACTCGGAGGTTTCCAATATGCGGGAGTTTATATTTAATACTGTACCAAAGGTGGTTAGATCACGCGCTAAGCGTAGTGCTCAACGGGTATGTTGGTTCAGTGTCCTAAACTTGCTCTTGACACCTTGAATCTATCGCAACCATTAACAAATACTCACGTGCCATATCGTGAAGGGCACTTCAGTTGAATCAAAGAGGAAAGAGAACTCTGTAGTGAAACCAGAAAGTTTCCACCATCAATACGTCATTTATTGAGGTAAACGCCTCAGCCCTGTATTGAAGTCACTCTGTCTGAATGAAATGAGGGTGGGCGTTTCGTAGAAAGAGCCGGCTAGAGGACTTTATTTCAATTCCTTCGATAAAGATCCTCGTGTGAAAGGAAAAAAAAAACAGATTCTGTGTTTATATCCTGTAATTAATTGCAATAATTAAAAACAGGGATTTAAGGTAAATATGCTTTTTTTAGGGCTTCTTAGGTTGTATTTTTGGGGTTTCATAAGGTCGTAGGTTTTTTTCTGATCGATATCATTCCTTATGTTGTATTAATCCTGAGTTTGATCGCAATTCAAACATATTGAATTCCTGTCAAAATTATCTATAAAAAAAATGATTTAATTGAGTCACAGCGTGTGACATGATTAGAATACCATGTTAGAAATGTGGTTTTCAGCTTTTTCTGGTCGGTGCAACAGATATTTTTATAAATACTTATCTACTAAACATAAAGTTATTTTGTTAGCAAGTTTTGTTTGAAATACTGAATGAGTTAAAAACATTAACAGCTCAAACAAAAACACCAGCTAAGGCTTTGTAATGTCTCGCTATTTAAGTCAAAGGCGATGTAAAATATTATTTCCAACAACAAAAGTGTACTTGATGACTAAGAGAGCTTGTGGTGAAAGTTATATTGAACAGTGGAAATTTCAAGACATTAAGAAATTGATTTCTTAAATAAATCACAGTTTGGAGGAATAATAAATAATAAAGATATATTCTGACAAAGGATCCCAAGATAATTTGTTTTAATAGGTATTCAAATCGAAGTGATAGCAGACTCAGCAAGTGACATGCAGACAAGTTTTGGCCAAAATTATGCAAGTTCTTATGTAAACAGTTTGTACTTTTTGGTATTGTTTGTCAACCAATCATCGTCCGTATCGCAAATTCCTCAATGGCTGCCATAGTCGGTCACTGATGCGGAGTGAATGCAAAATATTCGATCTATGTCACAGCTTCATCTACCACAGTAGTGATAACAAATGTAGTGAGGGTATGTACAACAGTCTGCAGTGGTTTAAATTCCCTTAAAGCTCAAAGTTCAAGCTTTTCGGTGAAAGAAAGGGCCTTTTGTTAAGAGAATATGTGACCCGTGTCGTCCATCGTTGACATGGTTCATAAAAACGCTTATGCTACAAACCCTGATAGCGGAGTCGAACTGGAGGGTTTTGATTCCTCGTTGAAATCGGATACGGCTCGACAGATCACTCAACAATGGATTGAGGTGAGATCTACAGACATTTAGTGTCATTTTACAACAACCCCTGTGAAGCTTTTGCGTGCTTGTCCATGGACAGACGGTAGTAGACATTAACAACCGGTTTGATTATCTTTGGTGTCTTTAATTGTATCTAGGAGGCTACAGGACGTCAATTTCATTCGTCACGATTCATAGAATCTCTGCAAGACGGCGTTCTACTGTGCTAGTAAGTTTTTATAAAGACATGTTGGCTTGAGGCCCAGGATAAGCTTACCACTGCATACCACTGAGCTCATCGTATATTTGTTCTCGATCTGCAGTCTTGTGAAGCGAATACAACCAGATTCGTCGATAATTCAAGATGTGAACGAAAATCCAACCCCTCAGGAATCTCAGGTATTGTAAGAAACTTCTGTCTGACTCTTTGTAGTTCTTTCTGTGTCGGTGAATTGCACTTCGAACGCTCGACGTTCCTTTAATGTCGTAGAGGATACGGCTAGTAAGCACTCGAATATAATTGTTTTAAGTTTAGTGTTTTGCGGTTCCTTGCTGTTATGATGAGGAAAACGGTTTATTCCTAATTAATGTTAACAATTGGATGGTACAAGGCTAATCGAAAATTTGAACTTTCACTCGTTTCTCCAAGTCATGCCTCAAGTTGTGTATATAACTAATGAAAACATTCGTGACAATCGGTCTGCTTAGCAATATGGTGGAAGGGAGATATGGACCGTACGTTTTACTGGATAATGGAGTAAATTTTCATCTTAAGTGTAAATTATGCTTCCCACGAATTTTTTTGAAACCTTAGTTGTTGCAAAGGTCACCAACAACACTACATGGTGCGAAAATTTGCTTGTTGCGACCGGAAACTAGTTCATATCATCGCCGCCATTGTTGTGGATACGTTTAGTTAGTCATCGTACAAAAACGCCAACAGGAAACGTGATTGTTTCAAAATGAAGTTAATTTCAAGTGAATCTGAAACAGTAATGTCTAGATAGGTTACATTTAAAGACTCGGTCTCAAATATTCGGAGAATAATCCGCTCCTGTAGTGTAATTCTTCGCTTTTGTGAAAATCACACAACGTCTTTGATACGCCATTCTTTGGCATGATAATTTGCATTTGTTGACAGAATCCAATGTCTCAAGACGATGATTTCATTCAATCAATCAATGTTTTATTGAGCCACGATATTTCGAAGGGCTCCTGGGTGCAATATTATAGAGTATGAAAATTATTGTTGTCACGATCAATTGTTCTAGAAATACACATGTTTCTGTACATTCCATACTTATTTTCGAATCGGCAGCAGCTGTAGGTGTGAATGAGTAATTGCCAAGTTTCGTGACCAGCTTTGAGTTTAATCACCTAAATCCCAAAATATGTTGTTTTGGCCAGCTTTTGGTCAGCAAAGTGCATATTTCTCACACCATCATTGAGATGCTTTATCATGCTATCAGATAAACATTTCAACCTGAAATTTTTATTTTAGAAAATTTTTAATTTCTAATTGTTAAATTTGTTACGAGACAAAGTTGTTTTCCTCACTTTTTCTAATGTAATATTGTTGAACAGAAAATCTTTATTACATGGCTATTTCAGTTTAATTACATCACAAATATTCGTTCTTGCTACAATATTGAGCCAAATAAAGGAATGATAAGAAATTTGAACAAGTTAAATAATTTAAGTTTAGTGACAAAAATTGTGCAAAATTTCTATCAAGATTGAGTGTATGAGTGTTAAGTAAAAAATATATGACACTAGAAATCCAATTGGGACAGAAAGTATTAAAACCTAGACAAGTTTTGGGATACTATTTATTGTGTAAACCAAGAAACTTACTATTGAGCCAGTTTTATAACTGGCTTCTATCATTCACTGTTTGTATTCCTAACATAAACACAGTCTTAATGACATCAGGGGTGTCATTGTCTGCTGTTAAACCATTTTAAATGTGTGCTTGATGGTCTTTAACATCTCATTATCTGCCAGTTCAGTCAAGTGATGTAATGAAGTGAAAGCCCCTAGAAACAGACAGAGTAGAGCATTGGTGTAAATTAAGACCATTGATAAAATTATTATTGAAATGTTCATGCTGGTGTAGACAATACCCAATTGATACACAACTTATCTAAGTAAAATATGAGAATGTCTTCATGTAAGATAATTGACTAGATTAGACTTAAACTTAATTCACACATTAATCAATTGTTGCAATTTTAGAGTTCATCTTTGATAATTTTCATGTAACTAATTTTAGTTGGTGTTTGTCCTGTTTTGAAATGAATATTTAGAGATATGAGTACTGCTGAATTTTTTTTTTATAATTATGTAATGTCAAATTTAAACAGCTTTGGATTTACAATTTGACTGCATGTCAACAAAAAGAAAAATGTAGTGTATAATGGAGCTGGAACTTTAGAATCCTGTATTCTTGGAGTGAAGAGCAACTCTTTGACTGCATGTTGCAATTCTTTTTCTGGCAGTGAAATTTTTCTCAGTGAAGTAATTTATACTCAAGTGATCAGATGGATTTTTAACAGCCGTGATTGACCCAAAACAATTGGCTCCATTATCAACAAAGACTTGAGAGGGTCCAAGTAAAAGTGTACTTATTGCACAGGTGGCTTGAAAATAATTATGTGTAATTTACTGTGTTTTGTCAAAACAACAAAAAATTGAGAATCATGTTTAAATGGCCTAATGCTGGTTGGCAATTAATCCTTTGTATCTGATGCGGCCTTCCTTTCATGATCTAATTGAACTGAAGAAAGTGTGAAGTACATTTAGTTGTGTTATTGTGAGAGTTTATTTTCCAAATCATCATTACTAACAGTTTTTGCTTACCTCCCTGAGCTCTTTTAAATCAGGGTGATTTCAGTGATACGTCAGATGTTTGCTGTTTATTCAGAATGTTTTAACAAAATTATTGTATATACATACATATAGTATGCACACTTACCTTGTAGGGTTCATTTCTTGGGATCAGCTTTAGAGTAATATTTGAGTTAAGACTTAGTCATAGTCTAAAAGCTGTCTGAGACCCTAAAGGTGAAAATAAAAATGGAACTGACGATATTAAACTAAGCAGATTTAAGTTTGGTATAGGATGTAATTAGATTTCATAACAATTGACGGTTGGTTCAATGGCTAGGACCCTGTCAAAATAGTCTCAGCTGTGACCCCATTTCCTGGTGACACTTGTAAGAATTCTGTTTTAAAAAAAGTCACACAATCATAGATGAAGCCTAAAGAAACAAGGAAGCTAACATGAGGTGTGAAGAAGATCCAGACAGATTTGATTAAGTTAAACTTAGAGATGCAGCCCAACTTTTTCCATGTTGTCTCATAAATATCATCCAAATTTGATGCCGTGAAATAATCCATGTTTGTGAACCATTTATGATGTGACATTTTGAGCTTTGTAGACGATAAAAATGAGTTTATTACATACGAATAGTTAACTAATGATTTATTGTTGACATTTTTTGCAGATAAACCTAAAAAAGTTCTTGCGTGTTTGTTCTGATCTTGGTCTGAGTGCTTGGCAACTTTTCGATCCTCAGGATTTAGAAGCAGGAGATAATGTGATGTAATTATTTTTGACAATTCATTGAATTATTCTCAGCTAATAACACATTAAATGTATGGCAGTATTAGTGAATCAAAATTACAAGCAGCAACTGCTTTGGATTCAGTTTGTACAGCTGAGCATTACTTTTTAGTGTGGCAGGCTATCTTTTTAAAGATCCATATTTTTTAATTCATTTGATTTACTTTGATTTGTTATGTTTAGCAACTACAAATCAGAAGATGAAGTTGTTCAAAAGGTAATGGATAAAATTATCATGTTTTATTTAGTCTTTTTTTAAAGCTTGATATAAATAATTACTGTATTAATTTTGTTTTTCTCATGGACCTTCTAAGAAAATCAAGTTAAGGTGTTACTGTAAGAAGTATTAGCATTATTATATTCACTATGTAAACATATTGATAGAGGTTTACAAGGTAAACCAAGGGCTGGGAAGTTTACAAAGACAATCAACAGACAGAGAAGCTTTTTTTAGTGAGAAAATATGTTACATGTGGTCTTGGTAACTCGAGTGCCTCAAATATAATTTACCCATAAGGTGAATGTAATCTGATTAGAAGTTAATCAGGATAAATAAACTTATGGCTTATGAACTTATTATTTTAGTTTTTCTTGGCCAGGATGTGACTATTAGCCTGGTTTTCTGTGTTTATTTCCCCTAAAAAATAAGAAAAATATGTTCATTGTCAGGTTGTGAGCACTTTATACTGGCTTGGGTGCACTATTCAAAGCATGTCTTACTACAGAGGACCTAAACTTGATGTTAGCAATTTTCAAAGGGAAAGTGATGGTACCATAACAGTAAAGGTATGTGACTCCATAAACAGAGAAAAACTAATGAATTATAAACAAGTTTTTTGTGGCTTAATTGTTCTCAAGATGTTGAATGGAGGAAGGGATCACTGAACAAAGTATATGGCATAACTAAAGCAAATTGCAATGAAATGAGAGTACCATTTCTTAGTTATTTGTTATTGAATTATTTTTTTAAGGGGGTGTCTATTACTTGTAGCTCTTAGGTGACAACTTAAAGTCAACCAACAAGTTTACCATGTATAAAAATATGTTATCTATTTAGATTCTGTAGATTCCATCATGCACTGCTACTTTTGATAATATCAAAATCAGATAGATGCCGTGATAGTGCGCTCAGAAGATATTATTTGAAGTGATCTGCTGTGGGTTTATCATCAACTGAAATGCTGGGCCAGTTGTTAAGTAAAGTTCTGTCCATTAATTGTTTGTGACTCTTGTCAACTTTCACATTTTATGTCAGTTGGTAACCCCTTGTGCCTGAGGGTTCATTTTAATGAATTCTGCCATATTGGAGCCTAGTTCATGAAAGCCTCGTTCATGAAAGTAATTTCCCACTCAGTTTGCTAGTGGCTTAATTCAGTTGTAGAGCTCATTAGTTCAATCTTAGGGTTCTTATTTACAGAGCAGCATTCATTGTCCAAGATCTTTTGGAATGCTTGATCAATGTTTACTCATATTTTGTATTAATAACAAAGGACAGCTGAGTGAAATAGACATGGTAGAATTTTTGTACACAAGTATTTACAATATGCAAGTGCCATTTGATTTGCCCAGTGATGTTGGCTGCAACTACTGTTCTTTATCTCACATTCCTTCCTATGTTAGATTACTCAGCCCTCTAAGAGCTCAGTACTTGCATTTGTTATGGCTCTTTTGTTTCTTTCATATTTGATTAAAGAATGCCTTCATTAAGAAATGCTTGCCTAACAGAGCAGAAAGCTTAAACTAAATTATATTATGCATCCATTCTCAATTGTTCAAGACTGACTTGTGGTTTATAAACAAATTCAACCACATAACCAGTACTCTTGTTTTAACATGTGACAATATTTACAATCATAAGTCTCTCTGTGTAACCAATATTTTGCAGTAAGCTTTACAACATTACTTTCAATGTGTAAATAAATTTCTGACTTCTGTGTTGTACCATATAAGCATGTATACATTACTGATCATATGGAACAGTGAAAAAAAATTGATGCTTTTTAAGACCAGATTTATACGTGAATTGAACACTACAAATGGTTAGGCAGAGTGATATTGTTTTTCTGATGCCATCTTCTGTAAAGTTTTGTGTCTCTAGTTGAATTCTGAATTTTAACTGCTGAAAAAGTATATTTCTTTCTTCCAAATCTAGATTACAGTTTGTGGTTGTTGCCATAGATGGCCCAATTTAGTTTTTTTTGGGAAGCTTCTGCTGGTGCATAAAAACACAGTTAAAAACTACCTGTTATCATTGTTCAGTATGTACATGAGATAAAATGACTCATACAGGCAGATAATCAGAAAACACTGAGATCAATTTAATGAAATGTAAAAGTCTCATTGTCAGTTATGTGTTGTGATTAATCTGATATGCTTTTTGTTTTGCTTTTGTTTTTGTTTGTGGGTTTTTTTTAAATTTTATTTTTGTTTGTTAATTTTGTAATTTTCTGTTTTGTGTTTTTCTGACAAAGTTCTTTTCTTTGTTTCAACAGCCAACTGCCAGGGTCCCTGCTAATAATTATTCCCACAGAAGAATGGAAGACAGACCTCACATGAATGGAGGATTAAGACAGGAAAACTCAATACCAATGCACCTTACAAATGGCTATGCTGATAATAATAATACAATGGCCAATGTAAGTGTGACTAAAACATTATTGCATGGTATGGCCTGAGGCATCTAACCAGTGAAGTATAGCCATTAGCTATCACAGGGATGGAGCCACCAGCTAGAGTTACCTTATTGTTAACCCTCAGAGTGACTAGCATCTACTTTTCCCTCACAGTATCACCTCTGAATCAAACATTTTGGTCACAAGGATAAAGGAAATGTTCATGTACTAAAGAAGTTCTTGATTGTTAAACATATTCTTTTGGTCAACACCTAAGGAAATGTGTAGAGAACAGTATGGAAAATATGTGTCTTGACGTTAGGGCTAATGTGATGTATGAGGACTGTACATGTAGTTTGTTCAGTTTCTCTCCATCCTTGAATAATAAGGGTGACTCATCTTATAAGCTTGAAGACCCATTCTCCTAGCAGGAATTGATTGGGAGTACTGCAGAATGGTATGCTGGTGTATAGCAGAGTTACCCCTCTGAATTTGTTAGGTTTTCCTGAGAGTTTTCATGTACCCATGTATACTCTTAGGTCATGAGAGGTACATGTACTGGGAAAGTCAAGTATAATTGTCAGAACGGATATAAAAAAGAATGTTTATTATGGTCAGAGAGTAGAACTTGAATCCAGGTCTTGAGGAGAAAAAAGGCCGGTATTGGTTAACATGTATAAATTGTTATATAATTCTAATAAAAGGCTGACATTTTGTGTCTTTACTTTGATCTGCACAGGGAGATGATGCTGTGGAGTTTGCTGTTAATGTCAGAATACTTGGTGATGAAAAACGATTTGGCTTCTCTGTTATGGGAGGAGTAGATGAGGGATTTCCACCAAGAATTGATGAAATCTCCAAAGGTGAACTGACTTCATGACATGATGTAACATTTGTACCTCTTGTTTAAGTTTTATTTAATTTTCCATTGTATAAAGTTATAACTGAAGTGAAGAATGAATTGCTCTGTGTTATCATGAAAGTTGCTCAGGTTGGGTTTAATACTAATAAGTATTTGTTTATATTTTTAATAGATTCTCCTGCTGCAAAAACTGGTCTTCTGGTTGATGACGAGATCTTGGAAGTGAATGGAGAGCCTGTAACCAACCTTAGCCACACAGAAGTCATTTTAAGTATTCACAAAGTATGTCTTTAAGTTTATACAAAAATAATTTTAAAATCATTTATTTTGATACTTCAATAGAATTGATGGAATCCTAGTTAATGTTAAAAAGTTCAAAATGTTTTTAGCAAAGCACATTTAAAGGGTTAAAACTTCCTCTTTCAGTTTGCTGTTTTCTTTTGGAAATCAAGTGGTCATGAAGCTTGTGTCATGCATGATGTAATTGGATCTTTTTTCATTTTATATTTAGTGTCTTAGAAACAGGGTCATTGCACTGAAAGTAAGGAGAGGACGAAGATCTTTTCAAGGTTAGTAAATAAATGTTTTGAAGAGGGTCATGGATCTGTTGTTAACTTATTTGTCAGAAAATGAATGGACTTAGAGTTTATTTATGTTTTTAGAAAGAATAGCTTTACCTGATTATCTACAACAATTTAATTGTAACTGATCAGAATCAGAGATATCAGTGTTTCAGATTAGAGCAAAACCAATTGAGAAAAGTAGTAATGCATAAAAACATAATTTAAATACTTGTGACTTCAGTGGCTTCCTAGATTGAATCAATGTTTAATACCTGTTGCACATTGCTGAATTTTCTTGGTGTCCTAATCTTGAGAGTGAGGGAAACCAGATCAAAGACTGGTAATCTCAATGGACTTAGAAAATAATGAATTTTTTGTTGTTGTTTTTTAGGGCTAAACAATGGTATAGATGTTTATGATGGAATAAATGGAAACTACAATGGGCAAGTGGATACAGGCACAAGAGATAAACTTCAGCAAATCATGAGAGAGCATGAGAGTGATCCACAATTCCAATATTACAACTCTGATGCTGAATCAGAAGGATCACACAACAGTGATAAATTTTATAGAAATGGAGACATTGGTGTTGTCTCACCAACTGACCCTGGGTGGAATAAAGATGTTGGCAATAAAAGTTTTGGAATATCAGGGAAAAACTTAGCTCAATCAAACTTACAGAAACACAAGTCACTCTCAACACCACTCATTGATTTGACAAAGCTGGATGCTATAGAGGCAGCTGTTGATGTGGATGATGATGATGATGATGATACATGGGCTCTGCATAATCAAGCTTATGATAGCGACAATGAAAAAGATCATCCAGGTAGGAGCTTATCCCTCATTAAAACATAAACAACTAAAAGCATACACTCTGATTGGTCAATGCAGTGTCTACTTTTGCCCATGGGTGTACACTGCAGATGTGACATCTGATGCTTTGCTCATGATGGAACATTTGTACTGATTGTCTATAGATACAAAACTGAGAAAGAATTTTTTTCATGAATTTCAGGAAATGTGATCACAATTACTTTAATAACTAGTAGAGCTGCACAATGACTAGTTTTTGCCCACTTGTTTTGTCTGGTCATATAAGACTGCACAAACAGGTTTAGCTCAACTAAAGGGAACTCTTTTCCTATAATGTATCAATGTTATATTATGAAACAAATGGTAAACACCACAGCATACACTATTGAGTTATAGATACACACAGGAGGTTTGCTAAGCACTCAAGAAGCTAGAGTCTTGCTTGACTATTACCTCAAGTGACTTTTACACTTCTCTTGTGCTCAGCAACCTGGAAGAAGTGTCACTTATGTTAAAGCAAGTCAGTATAGCCCCATCTAGCGGACTTATTTTTCTTTCTTATTGTCCATTTACTGAAAAATGTAATGATATGGTGCAGAGAAATTGCACCTAACATGTATTTGTTTATAAATGTTTTCAATAAGCTTTGAATAATCATTGAAGAAGACCACTTCTTTTTCCTTCTGTGTGATCAATCCTCAGTTTTTAGAAAATAAACACTCAATAGTTATACAGAAATGAAAAAAGGGGGTAAGTTTCCGCTAAAGAAACTGTGGTGTTGCGTTGGTGAGATATTATAACAAGGTAATTTAGTATTATCAGCTGAGTTGGTAACGTCAATTGGCCACTGTTAAGAGTTCCAAAGCTATACAACTTGAGATTTTCAAACTTTAAAACTTAAGCTTTATATCTCTTAACAATGGCCACTTTATGTTATCAGCTCAGTTGATAATACAAAATTACCTTGTTATTTAGGATTGTTTTTGCCAATTTAATTGGCAGAACATATTATCTATTTACTAACAAGGATTTAATACATTCTAGTCAATAGCAAAGTTTGTTTTCTACTTTAGAATAACTGTTGTTGTTTTGTTTACAAGGAGCAGCAGAGAAAGAACTGTTTTTCCCAGGCATCAGTGAACTAAAATCAAAGCTGCAAAGTGGTAACGACAGAGAAGGAATTTCGTTTGTGGAAAACCTCTTGGAGCAGAAAGATTTTCAAGATGCAACAAAAGTGAGTACGGATTTGATAACTGCTTCAATACGTGATCAAGAAGAATAATAAGTTAGGGATGTAACCAGTGTCTCTTGCTTAATTCTGTATTTTTTCCTGTTGGTTTTAGGTTTACACTAAAATGATTGAACTTGAAAGATCTGGACGAGGACCGAGTGCAGTCAGACCTGTTGCTACAAATTCACAACATCTCTCTTCTCAGGTGATTTAATCGTTACTTCCCAATACTGCTACCTTGAAGCTAGCTATGAGAATTTTAAGGTCAATCAAAACATCACTTTGGCATAATTATTATTCTTAAACTTAGCCTGAGAAGGCCTTTGTTACATCAAAACTTATTTCTTTTGCATTGGTGTTTCTATTAGTGTTTTTGTATTGTTTTGTTGTTTGTCTGTTTGCTTTAGGGATCCAAACATTTATGTAGGTTCCTTAAATAAAGACAAAATAATTTCAGTTTTAAAGTGCGCATTCTGTTGAATATTTCAGTTGAAACATTCCCTCGAGGCAGCCAGACATTCAAGAGATGCAGATGAATTGGTACAAATCTTAGAGATGCCAAACTTTCAGGTAAATTAAAGTTTTTTCGGGGTGACCAATTAAGTGTTGGAGTATTTTCATCTGCTGACTTTAAATCTTATGCCATGATCAAATGTCGAACCTTTCAAGTGTCGAAGTGATTTAAAATGAAACACAATCCATGTTCTATTGTGGAAAATTCAACGTTTCTCTTGGTTTGTGCCCTGTCAGGCAAATTCTGTGATTAGTTGCATTTCGATTGAGTGTTCTATAACCAAATCTAAAGTTACCCCAGCGGCCAACAACAACAAACTTTATGTAAAATGTCACAAGAAACCCGACATCAGTAAAAACAACTAAACTGCGACTGAATCGCCATTGGGTTATTTTTTTGCCTCTGATCAGTTGAGAAGATGGTACGAGTATCTATACCAATCGTAGAGCTTAGAAGGCAAATGTAGCGTGTCTCCGGGTTACTTTTGACAGTATTCTGAAAATTGCGCCATTTCAGGGTCTTCTGATGGCGCATGATAGACTCGCTTTCAGAGAAGCTTTGCCGAGCGAGGAAGAAGAACAGGAAGTGGATGCACCCGAATCCCAAGATCAGCAAGAACCGCAGCAACCTACGGATGAATTCTCTCATGTGGAAGACGACAATGTGAAGATTGTGAGAATAGACAAAGCAACTGAACCACTTGGAGCTACTGTAAAGAATGAAAATGGCACCGTGATGATAGGTAGAATTGTTAAAGGAGGTGCAGCAGATAAGTGTGGTAAGAATCATCTTTGTTATCTTCTCTCTTACAAAACGGTTTCAACCTTGCTGATGCTAGCGGTGTTCAGAACATTTGTCGCATTTAAGTCTAGTTATGGCCTACCTCACTTAGGAGTCCCCTTTAGCTAAGGGGAAAGGTAACGAAGAACTACAGTGCGTCTTTCTCTTTTCCTCTTTTAAACATGCTGTTTGGTTCCTAGGTCTTCTTCAAGAGGGCGATGAAGTCCTTGAAATAAATGGAGTAAACATGAGAGGGAAAACTGTAACAGAGGTTTGTGAACTGCTGGCGGACATGAACGGGACGTTAACATTTGTTCTAAATCCAGCCAATCGATCCCGCGTCCCACCTGATAGAGAAGTCCACGTGCGCGCGCACTTCGACTACCATCCTTACGAAGACGAGTTGATACCGTGCAAGGAACTGGGACTAGCATTCAGAAAAAGAGACATTCTGCATGTTGTCAATCAAGAAGATCCTAACTGGTGGCAGGTCAGTGGTGAATGTTGTCCCAAACTGTTACCCACAACCCGAAATTATCTACCAATTTGTTATCGAGTTCGTTAGTAAAACATTCATTTTTTTTGTTTCTTTGTTTGTAGGCTTGGAGACCAGGCGAGGAAGGCAGACAATTAGCTGGACTCATTCCATCCAAGCATTTTCAGCAACAGTAAGTTTATAAAAGAGCTCGCATCAGCTACATTTAGCAACTACAATATTTTCATGGTGATTATATTTAACTTTTCATTTCTTTCCTTTTTTCCAACAGGAAAGAATCGATGAAGAAATCAACTCGAGAAGCCGAGCCGTCCAACAAAGAAAGTAAGGATTTTCAATGTTGCATTTTAGAGCTGTCTCTAACTCACTGGTGGTCAGTCACTTTCGCCGACAACAGGCCTCGCCATATCACCCTCACCCGGAAGACCACACTGCATGATAATTTTTTACTCCCAAAGTCAAACTATGAACTGTATAACCAACAGAATGTTGTTTTGTTTTCACCTTCAGAGAGTGGATGTCTTTGTTTCAAGCGAAAGCGAAGGAAAAAGGTTCTTTACAACGCGAAACACAACGAAGGTTGGTGTAAAGTAATTCCCCAAGCAATTCCACGTTGCCATTATTCACTATCACGCCGTCACGTTTGATTTCCTTGTACACCGGTCTAATTATGTAACAAGTTAGATTGGTATTATCAACTGAGTTGATAACTTCAATTGACCATCGTCAAGAGTTTCAAAGCTTACGTTTCGAGCATTGGCACTTCGTTATCAACTCAGTTTATAACACTGAATTACTCTGTTTTACTCTCCCACTGACATAAAACTGTTTTTTTTCCCCTTAGAATATGTGGCGGACGAGGTGTTAACATACGAAGAAGTGGCGCATTTACAGCCAGATCCTCACAGAAAACGGCCTGTGGTTCTTATAGGTAGGCTGGGTCGCTGTGATTTGTTACTTTAAAGACACTTAACTCGCCCAGTCTCCCTCTCCACTTAGTAGTGGGTAACAGTGAACTGTCAGGGAAAGCTGAGAAATAGAGGGGGGAGGAGGAGGGGGGTATTGGGAAACCTCTGGTGGAATAGCATCCCTTTCAAGAGCGAAGACGTACTCTTCTTGGTTCGTGTTACAGAACCAGAGATAAGCATTCACTTTTGGTTTTAACGAACACAGTATCATTGCTGGGAAATTATCCGCCTTCAACCACTCCTGTCCCATTGCCCAGAGAGATGTGATGGTCTGTATTTGCAATCAATGTTCGCTAGGGTCCAACCCTCCTCTCCAGTTTTCAAGTCCAAGATTAATCTCACGCGACTATTTCTGCTAATGATATGAAGCAAATCACTCTTAAAGCATTTTAGACTTTGCAGTTGGGTTGAAAAATATGAATTGATCCTCTGTAAATTTTTTGTTCCATTTGTTCCTGTGTAGGACCTGATAAAGTTGGCCGGAAAGAGTTAAGACAAAAGTTGATTCTATTTTCACGAGAACGTTTTGCTCTAGTGGTACCTCGTAAGTACATTTCTGTTCGCGTTTTATCACTGAGTCATCATATAATCAAAGAATCGTTCCTAAAGTGCAAACGAAAACTTAAACGATTGGTTAATGGACCTATTGTGTGACTCTCTGTCTGTCCGTCTGTGTGTATGTCTGTCTGTCTGTCCGTTTGCGTGTCCGGTTGTTCTGCTTTCTACTCTATCATCTGTTTCTCGTTCCCTCTGTCGGTCTATCCACCCATCTCCGTCCGTTGCTCGCCCTGTATGTCCGTCCTTTCTTGCTCTCTTTCCGTTTCCCTGTCAGTCTTTCTGTCTATCTGTCTGTTCCTCTCTGCCCTCGTCTACCATCTATCAGTAGGCTCTTCCTTTCCTCTGTCTGTTTTATTATAATTTTTCCACCTATTAATACATCAAGCGGAGTACTGTAATAAAAAAGTTCTTTGGAGTGTTTTAATTATCATACTTTAGACTTCACATCATACTTCCCGCTTTAGACACCAGCCGCCCAAAAAGACCTGAAGAAGTCAATGAAAGAGATTATTACTTTGTTCCACTACCCACGTTTGAGGCGGACATTGTGGCCCATAAGTTCGTGGAACACGGAGAATTCGAGGGTCACTATTATGGCACCGCTTTAGACTCCATTAGAAGAGTGGCCAACTCTGGCAAATACTGTATTTTAAATCTCCATTGTGAGGTATGTCGCAAGTAGCTTTACAGTTCCATTTGTGATTCTATGCCATGCAGAGAATTTGAGTTTCATTCGAGTACAGTCCATACTTCTGTGTGCCCTTATCTGCAGTCTATTAGCTTTGCATATCCTAACTCAGCACACTTATTACTAATACTCTACTCAAGTAATATTATCATATGACCCATGCGACTCGCGTGCTTTTGATGGAAATATAATAAATAATCTCCCCGCATGAGGGCCGTACGCGAGTAGGCGATCAGGCCCAGAAAAAGACGCTCAACCCAGCATGTAGCCCTGAAATGCAGGATGACAATTGAGCACCGATCATATGAAAAACTGAGATAGGGTGGGCCGAACGGGATCATTTTTGGCTCACGGTTATGACGGATCTCGAGCCGAATTGCTCAAAGTAGAAACATTCTGTTTATTAACCTCTGATATGCATTTTTATTCCAGGCGCTCAAGATGCTTAAAGCTTCTGATGTGAAACCCTACGTGGTTTTCATCTCACCGCCATCTTACGATAGAATATTGACCCTTCGGAGAGGAAGAGTGGATCCATTCAACCCTAATCCAAATTCACCTATGTCTGTGAGTACCAGTTGTTGTCGTTATCGTTAGAGCTGTCGTACCAGTTGTTGTCGTTATCGTTAGAGCTGTCGTACCAGTTACCGGGATCAAGCTGAAATCAAATTGACAAAAAAATATGTTAGGTTTTTGTAAGAAGAAGAAAAATTTTCTTTGAAATAGCGGATCAATTTGTGCGCACCTCCCCCTCCCCCAACTCAACATTAACCCTTAATTGCTGTCAGTTGACCGTTGTTGGGTTAGGTGAGGGGTAAGTGCGCAGTTGCTCAGGTTCTGGCATTGATCCAAAATAGCGATAAAAATTGTTAAATAGGAAATAAAAGGGAAAGGCCATCGACGATTTTGCAAATGTAAGAGAAATTTTGAGACTGTTCAAAGAAGTTTTTAATACAGGCTAAAATAAGGCCATACAGCAGTAGGTGTTAACTGCTGTGAGAGTTCCCGCTCATGTTTGTATTGTTTTCATTCTAAGGACGCGGAATTACATGACATGGTGACTAAAGCGAGAGAGATGGAAGAAATGTACGGCCATTACTTCGATAAAACAATCGTGAACACAGACTTGGAAAGAACATTTGACGAACTCAAACAGGCCATCGATAAACTTGATGTGGAGCCACAATGGGTACCAGCTTTTTGGGTAAATGACAGCCGTGGCAACTTGTAGAAAAAAAGCCATGGGCACCAGCTAGAGATAAACGGTGTTTCGCGAGACGACACCTTGTGTTATACGAATGAAAAGGAACAAAGAAAGATTCATTACCGTTTTGTATCGTGGAAAGAAGGTATTTTTTCTGAAAAGGGTGCCCAGACGAGGAAACCAAAAAATATATGGAACATTGTCAAATTAAGGGAAATAAGTTGCCGAGGAATTTCATTTTAGTTATGCAAGTTATTCAATATGTACAGCGAAAAATTGACTGACTTTATTTTCTAAAGAATGTATAACTAATCTTTTCATTTATGGATTCTATATTGAGCCAGTAGGGGATCTGTATTAGGTGAACAAGAACGAATGCTTTAGTTTATGTAACAGAGAGTTTATATCTTCCGAAATTTTTGAGATATTTTACTGTTAATTTGCAGTATTTAATATTCTGAGTGTGGAAGGTACGACAGGTTGCTTTCCCTTTTTTGTGTGTGTGATGTTCTCCATAAAGCAGCTCCCTAGCGCTTCTGGCAAATTACGGATCAGGTACATAAACTTGATAACGAAAAATTTACTTCACTGGTGGTTCGTGCTAAGAAAATCAGCCAAGTTTGAAATGTTTTTTAAGTTTACGTATCGATAGAGACTGAGTATGTAGCAGGTCATTTCAGTGGCCCCGACCAGAAGTGCGTCATTATTTTTTAAATGTCAGTGCTGATTTCAAGTGACTTCACACAAGTCAAGTTAACAAGCAAGTTTTATTTGATTATAGAGAATTGCAAATTGTATCAAACCATTTGAACGAATGAGCAAAAAAAAAAGCAGATAATGAAAATCTGTCAGAGAGTTAATGCAACTGAGCTGCTTAAGGTTCAAAGCGTGCTTTGAAAAGTTATATTCCCGAGAAATTGAGCTTTCATACAAAGCAAATCCTGATATAAGGCAAAAGGAGTAGGGATAAAGAACTATTATAAACAGTAATAATATTTCCTTCACGTTTTAGCGATAAACAACGTAGCAGTGAGGTAATGAGTGTGTGGAGCAGTTTGTTCGTAATAACCGAGGATTATTTTTTACCAAAGGTATTCGAAGGGACTCTTATGTATCCATTTATATATCTGCGAGAGGTTCAAAATTATGTCCTGCTGAAAACAAACAAAAAAAAAAAAGCTTTACGGGTAATCGACAATTTTTTCATCAATCATATGGTAGCGTACTTGTTACTTGGCTTATTTGATCTGGTAGTACATTCCTTATTACACTTCGCAAGGATATTAATCAGTCAGGACTCAAAATTAAAAAGTTTCCAGGCGTCAAAAGGCGAAAAAAGAAGAAAACACAGAAAGACATGAAATAGACCATCATCAAACCTGGAAATTTCCGTGGAACAATTAGCAAACGCAGAAAAACATGATACTAGTGCTGAGCGCGTGACAATCTCTTTGGTTGTGTTTAGCTTCTTTTTCTTCGTCCAGCTTGGTCAGTAAAGAAACCGCCCGTTTCACTATAGACAAAGGTTTACGCTTTTTTTCTTTTTTTTTTTTAAAAATTCCGTTTCCTACCTTTTTTTATCCCATTCTATGTATTTGTCATTCGTTAATCATGTTATGTAAATAGAAAGTTTAGATGCAGTGAAGTTTTTTGTATCCAGTTACAGATGTTTGTGAAGTCTATCTTTTTTAAAAAACCAAGTTTTGTGCAATTACTTGACTTCACTCAACAGAAGGCCGTAGCAAAGTAAAACGATTGAACTAAGGAACTGCTTACAATATAAAAAGCAGTTTGCAGAGTACAATAACAACCCTAACCAGAGATTTACCCGTAAACAGTCTTGTGTAAATTTTTAAATAGCTGTAACAAATTCGAAGCAAATATTTTTATATACTTCATGGGCCACAAAGTATTTAATTATTTCATGAAATTGTATGTTAATTAGTTTTAGATTTTGTAATTGCATACAATTTGAAATGATAGGTAAGAAAGCAAATTATGAGAAGATGATGCAGTTTTCTGCAGCTCCACTGTACAATTTACTGAATTGCTAATTCTCTAAGCAATGTATTTCATGGGAATAAACTAAATTAATACAGGGTGATTTTAACCTACTCTGGATAATTGTCGTTTATTTTACTATTTAAGAGCCATGAACCCTTTACGGCCTACATGAGAATGTATATTCTCCATACTGTTCTCTATACATTTTCTGTGGCACAGACAAGGAGAATATAGCTAAAAAGCAAGAGCTTTTCAAGTCTGAGAACATTTCTTTCATTTTCATGAACTCAATGATTGATTCTGTAGTGATACCATGGTGAGAAATTAGATGCTAGTCACGCTCAAGGGTTATTAGGTTAAGCCGGCGGGCTATAGAAACGGTTTTGTTTAAATCTTCTTCATCTGAACTGCTTGTTAA